GCTTAAACTCTAGGAATTGGACAGAAAACATTTCATGCAGTATGATCCTTTTTAAGTCAATATTGTCTTTTAAATCCTGAATTTCAAATTAAGTATTATCCTCCTTTAAGCAACTGCATGCACATATATATATACCTTGGAAATCAATGCTGTTTATCCTGTCTACTGTAGTTATATATACAAGTTTAATTTTTGCTATTAAAAAAAAAGTTTGTAGACTTAAAAATGGAAAAAGACAAAATGTTACTAATTTGATGGTTTCCAGAGTCATTGCTAAGGGTGCATGATAACAGTCACCAACAAAATCACCATTTTCAGGTAGCAGCATAGGTCCTTGCACTAGCAGGCAACTAGCGGGTTTTTTTCTTGTACTTCAATAAATGTATAGCTAAGAGGAAAATGCAGCATTTAAAAACAATTGTTTTCAGGTTTTCAGCTGGGGTAAATTTTTGTTGATGTAAAGTTTGTTTCAGAGTTTTCATGGGGTTCCAGACTAATTATTAGATATGATTAGAATAGTAGATTTGCTAAAGCAAAACATGTCCTTTCAAAACAGTCCAGACTGAATGGGGGAAGACTTGTACTATATATATATATATTTTTTTTTTTACTGAGAAAACATGAGGAAAAAAACTTGCACCACTTAGGCAAGCTGGCTCTGGTGCTGTAAGATCCAGCACTGAAGTCCCATGTTTCCACAAAGGAAGTTTACTCCAGTGACTTTATGTAGACAGCAGTACATATGGGGCTTGTTTCAGGGGCATACAGTAATGAGCAAGGATTTAAGTTTAGTAAACAAAAGGTAAATAGAAAATGCCACACACATGGTGAACATAAGCAACTGCATAATAGGTGACACCTGTTATTTTCTGAGTTTTCCTATGTTTTGTACTATTTAATAAGAGTGGGGTTGGTTTTTGTCTGTCTCGTCTACCATGTTGTAGTGAGTTCTAATAATGGAAGTTAGAGCAGCAAATACAGAAGTTATTGTTTCCTGAATATTAGCTGCTCAACAAGTAGATTATCTAATTTCCTTACCAGTCTCCAGTCCTCATCCAGCCAGCTGTTCATAATTCTAACATACACATAGTAACCTATCTGAAGGGACAAGAATGCAGCAAAGCGAATTGCAAGGATCTCTGCTTGGCATGTAATCAGGTTTCCATCCCTGTGCATGCTGGTAGTTTGCCATCACGTGTGGACCCTTGATCTGAAGGCTTTCTTGGTTGCCCAGACTTTCTTTTTGCTTTTGGTGGTTGTGGACAGTTCAAGGACAAAATTTACACTTCAACTTACAACCTGGAGACAATAAAAGCACCTGTGGGTTCTTTCTGATTTCATCTAAAAGGCTGGGAAATGTTTGAACCCTTATGCTGTGATCTAGCTTTGCACTACATTTAACTGCACAGTGGTGTCTGCACTGAAGAGTGAGCTAAGCAACCCGTGAGTCTTTTCCGTGCCATAAGTATGGCACTTGGCATTCAAAGGAGAACTCGTGTATCGAGCCAAACCCCATTATTTGCAAAGGAATCAGTGTCACTCATCCACAGGGGGAGGACAGTAATACCAAGTGCTCATTTGACATGTCATCTTTTTTGTAGGAGAATTCTCTATAGGTAACATATTAACAACTATTTTCAACCTAATTTTAGACAAACAGAAACTGTACTTCACTGCAGTTTGCAAAGAAAATTCTACCTTTGATCGAAGCTGTAGCAGATTTCAGTTTGCTGCATTTTGAAAGTCATGCCGATGTGAAAAGCAAGCTTTTCACTCATGTTTGGCATCTTAACCAGAGCTGGCACTCTTAGGCAGTGCTTTAATTATACATTATATTAACCAGTGTGAAATACTCAGCCTTATTAAGATAGCCAAAAGACTTCTTTATAGTTGATTTATTAGAGCTTGAAATTAACTTTTCACAGTCCAGCTCAAATGTATCAGTAGATATGGAAATTCAAATTCAGCTCTGTCTACAGTAAGTTTCCCCAGGGCTCTCTCCAGTCCCTTGCAATGCATCTACTTGCTGTAAAGACCCCAGTGCCCAGGTGCCAAAACACTGGGCATCAGTGGTCAGCCTCTCCACTTCATAGGGGTTTTGAAAGCATTTTCTGAAGATGGAAGAGCATCATCTTCCTTTGCCTCAGAAAAGCACCCCTCAGCTTGCTAGGAGCCTGAATAAAAAGCAGTTTTCTACAAGATACTGATGACAAGTCTGGGTGTTTATGGATCTCTCCAGAGAGCAATGATTTGTACATTTCCCACTAGTTGTTGCACTGAGATGATTGGGATTAACTTTAGGTCCGTGGAGATAACATTATCATGAGTTACCGTGTGATTGCCACTGGTTCCAGCGGAGTTACCACTGACAGTTATCTTGCTGTTGCTGTGTAATCACATCAATTATTTCACTGGAAACTGTGTAAATTACCACAGCTGTAACTGTGTAAAGATCTGAATGGCTAATTATTCACACCTCAGTGCCTAGAAAAGTGGCTGCTGAACGGTGACCAGTGATGCTGTCCCAGCTGGTACAAGAGATGCCTTTCAGTGCTCCCAGCTTTGCTGGCCAAGCCCCTGTACAAGCAGTAGAGGGGAAGGCAAGGGGCACTAAGGTCTCCTGCCCATAAGTACCTGTAGGAGCAAAGGTATTACCTGCTTGAAGTGCTGATAGTGCTAAGTGGAGATACCTTCTGCAGGAATGTGTTGTTTTTCAGCCTTTCTTGATAGTCTCACTAAAATGATCAAAGCCATAAATGTCCTCAGCAGACATCTGGAGTCTGCTGGACTTGGTGTCTTACTGTCTCCTACACCCATGTGGGCTGGGATCTGGACAGGCAAGGTCTATTGAGGCTGCAGCCACAGTCTTTTTTCAGTCAGAGCAAAACCTGTATAACCTTCCATGTGTCAGTTTTTAATGCCAGGTGAAGGAAGACAGGAGAGGCTGTACCTGCTGCAGCATGCTCCAGCTGAAAGTGAGCTGCAGCAGAGCCAGGCCTGTTCCTTGAGAAAGGCAGCACAGAACAAGAGGTCTTAACATGTCCCAGAGTATCTTTGTGGGGCTTTAGTTCTCGTCATGATGGAAAGATTGGACAGGATGTGGTGGCCCTTTTCCTTGCAATAGCATGCAAGTATGAAGTAGGTGTCTGTAGCCTAGAGAATATCCATTCCATGTACTTGCATGCGCCATGAGAACATTTCCCCTTTCCATGTACTTGCATGCTCCACAAGAACATTTCCTAACATGACATAAGAAATCTGAGTCCTATTTCAAACAAAACAAAATATAGTAATCCAGGAACAATGCCTTCAAGTATATTATATTGCAGAAAAAGAGTGGGAGCCAACCATGGGCATCGCTATTGTCCCAGGTCACTCAGATATCCCTGGGGAGTTTGTAATGTCCCACAACTATGAAAAAAAATACATAGGACCCTCTAGTTGTACAGAGAGATGAGTTGTCCACCAGTCAGTGAGATGACATCCCTCTGCCAGCTGGGAAGACAGTGGCAGATGGTGATTTCATCCTATACTTAATCTCCCAGCTAATTACAGAGAGGTAGGAGGACAGAAGACAAAGACGCAAGCCTGATGTGCCCTTGTGTCCCAATAGTCAGCCCACCTTTTGAATAAGATTTATTGCTAGGACATGCTATTCAAAGGCTTCAGAACTTCCTCCATTTTCCTTGTTCCTGTACCTTATCAGGTATTTTTCTTGGGTTTTTTGGTGCTGAATATTGTTTGTCCACCTCCTGATTTTGTTAAAAATATTGTTAAAACAGGAAGTGCATCGATCTGTAGAGCAGCAGGGAGAGTTACAGATCTCTGCCAGTTGAATACGGGCACCAGCTCTCAGCACGATGCATTTTAACCTTTTCTCCTGTTAGCATGCTTCCAGCAACCTGCCGTGCATTTTCAGACTTCTAAACTCTCAGATATCAGCTCTCTGATGAAATCAGTGGATATGGAGCATCCACATTTTGTGCTTTGCTTCTGTTTGATGCCACAAGGCAAGGCACAGGGCTGGAGCTCCAGGTACTGCAAGATATAATTTCTCCCTATTTAGGATAGCAAAAAAAAAGATAAACAAGGTATTCAGAGCCATTAGCCAGCATGACCGTGTCTTCTGTTTATCTCAAACAGCTTTCTACATCCTGCTTTTGTGGTGTCCCCAGACAAGGGTCTTGGTTTTAGGTGACTGAAAGCTTTTCCTTTTCCCGCAGAGCTGTCCTAGAGCAGAGCTCCCGCACTCGCACTGCCGCGCACCTTCCCTCCCCTGGCTTGTGCCTTTCCCACTTGGTAACCACCTTCCCCACCACTCAGCCTTCTGTAGGATGGCCAGCTCTGCAGTGAGGAATCATCTCATATCTGGGTGGCAAAAGCAGGGAGAAGGAGACACAACATCTGGAGTAAATCTGTGGATTTAAGTGATGCTTGGGTGGGAAGAGTGTCCAATGGTACTTTGTGCCTCTTCCTCAATGATGCAGATGAACCTTTTGGCTTTAAAATCTGTCTTCAAGATTGCCTCCTCAGGACAAGTCACACCAGCAGATCTTTGCCTTCTTAGTGGTTCTTTGAGTTTTTAGGTTCTGTCGGTACTAAGATGCTCTCAGCATGGGCCATGGTGTCACAGCCTTGCCTACCAATGTGGCACGGGGAGCAGCCCTGCTTCTGAATTTAGAAATAGCTCAGGAATGCATGCGTCATGCATTAGGTTGATGAATGTATTCTGTCAGCTCCTGAATGGATTGGAAATGCCATACCTCATAGAATTTGCAAGGTAGTTGGGATTTTTTTCTCTCTTTTTTTAATTACTCTTTTACACTTGACTTGCCCAGAGAAGTTGTGTGTTGTGCACCAGGCTTATGGCAAGTAGGACCGAATTAGTGTGGGACAGGGGGAACAGCGGAGAGGCAGCTCCCTCCTGCTTAAATTAAAACTAAGCCACATCAGAATGTTGCCAATTAAAAATAAAATGAATGACTTTGCTCTCTCTGTAGGTGACCTGTCTCCACGATTTCTTTGGGGATGATGATGTGTTTATCGCCTGTGGTCCAGAAAAATTCCGCTATGCACAGGATGACTTTTCTCTGGATGAAAGCGGTAATACCAAACTCACACTGCTCTCCAGTCTGTGTTTTTGTTTGTATCAGATAATAATGCTGCATGCTTTTGTTCTGTTCTGTAAGACCTAGTACATGGAATTTAACATCCTTTTGTGATCCTTGTACAGTCAGCTGATATTATAATCAGGTGAATACTGACTGAGGTAGCCCAGCTCAGAATAGATGGACTCCTACACCCTTTGACATTTACTGCAAAAGCTGGTAGTGTGTATCGTTCCAGTTTTATCCTGTTGCAGATAGACACGTTTTTCTTGAGAACTAAACAGTAGAAGGACTCTTGTCCTTACGTACACCTGTGAATATTAAAAAAATGGGAACAAGGACAATTAAAAGAAAAATCACTCCCCCCACTGCTTTCTTCTGCTGATTTAAAAAGCAGGGCAACAATTCCCTTTTTCGGGGGGGACTAGGACAGCGCTATTATTTGTCCCTGTTACAATTTCAAGCACAGGTCTGTAATAATGTGATTCTCTATGATCAATTAAGCCATTAAATCTTTGATTTCACAGAATATACAGATCTTGCTTGTATGAGTTACCAGCTACCCCACCTCGTAACTGTATAAACCAACAGTGCAGGCTGTCTGCTGGTGCCAGTGAGTGCAGCAAGAGTAAATTAATGTACCTTTGACCATTTAAACTACAAGAAAATGTGGTCGACAAATATACAGGCTCATTTTCCAAAGCTGTAGGTATCCTGTATGAGGAACAGGAGCCCCAGGCTGTCTTATATGCTACAAATTGGCTCGGTGTTGAAAACTAAAGAGTACTTTTGCAGCCTCTAATCTTAAAACACTGTATTTTTATGACTCCTTTGCAAGCCTGATTTTATTTGATGCTGGTACTTCTGACCTGTGTACTCCAGATGAACCCATTTGATGGTCTTGGGTAATTCAAAGAAAGTTTCCAAGGTTCAGCTGAAACTTTGCAGGCAGAGAATAATGCTGGAGAAGTGATCTGTAACCTGAGCTTCATATTTATTTTAACACGAGGCAGTTGAGTCAGCTCCACAGGGAGTTCCACACTGTAAAACAGTTTGAACGCAGTCCTAGCAGAACAACTTAATGGGAAGCCCAGCTCTCTGCCTACACTGCTGGTTACTACTGATTTTTCCAGCTTGGATTTCTCTAATAAAAATAAGCCAAGCCTGGTTATTGGGAAGGCACCAAGTAACTGCAGCTGTCAGTGGTATTTTCAGGGGTCCCCTGCACCTCTCAAGAAGCAGATGAGGAGCTATTAGCCAGCAGCATTTTCCCATTATACACCCATCATCCTTCTTTGTTATGAGTTAGATGCTGCAGGGAGAACTGTTGAGTTCTGAGGTCTTGCAGATGAATGTCACTTATTAAAATCTCCTCTATCATGGGGTACTTTTTCTTGCCTGTTTGGATGACGTGCACTTGGATTGCTGGTTATTATGCTCGCTCTGGCAGGACATCAGGAAAGAAAATGAGAAATAGCATAAGAGAGAATTATGTCATCTTTTTCCTCCTGACTGCCCACCACAGCTTCCGCCCCATAATCCCTGTTGCTGAGCACCTTCCAGATGACTTTGCTCTGTCTCATTCATACACGCTGGTTTCAGCATCAGCCCTCGGAAATGTCATGCCCCTTGTGATGTTTAGAGGCCTGTTTACACTAACTTCAGCACAGTTAGGTTTCCACCTTTAGAACCTTGTTTCAAGATATGCAGATGTTCAGTGATTGCCTTTGGTGTACAGAGACTTGCCAACAGCTGAGCTGGAGGAATTCCTCAGAGTCAGCCTTTCTGTGCTGGAAAATGCAAAGCTGAGTTTCTTTCAAGGAATTACTCCCCTGGGAAGAAAATAAATTTGAAAGCTCTTGAAAAGACGCAATATAAAGTATTTTCACTTTTTAGGTTTATTTTTTTTAGGGAGTAAGTCAGGGGAGTAAACATAGATGTCTGACAACCTTTGAGACTCTCTTGGTTTCTGAGATACCCACATAATCTATGATTGACAGATCAGGGGCAGCAGGAGACCACTCTGCCCCAGGGAGGCTGTACCCTAGTGTATCTCACATAGCATTTGGTGCTTATGGCTGGGCAAATGAATCGTGCTCTAAGGTTGAAATGTTGCACTGCTTTTGTTAAACAGCTATATGTAAGAACTTCTAAAAATATTACTTTTGCAGTGACTGAAGATGATTTTTCCTCGTCTTTTGGCTTGGCTGGTTAACACCAGAAGCAGTTACTTGCACACTCTCTCTAGTGGCTGTTTCACAGAGTCTCATCGAACACTATTCTTTAGTATCAAGGAGGCATGGTCTGCCTTCCACACCTCCCCCCAGTCATTAATGCTCTTCATGTATAAAAAATTTGGGCTATATCAGTGCTGGAGCCCTATAAGCCTTTCTGTGGTATCATCTGTGAGAAGTCAAGTACCTTTGAAAAAACACAACTTTTTCTATCCTTGATTTACTGTCTCCAAAATCCCCTTAGCAGGAGAGAGAATAAATTCATGGTAGTTTTAATTATCACCATGCAGTATCCCTGGAGCACAGGGCATGTACTTGCATGACCCAACAGCAAACTCTATCGCAAACCATCTGGAAGAAGAGACTGACTCTTGGCTGTCTGAGAATGAGGAAAGCCTGGGGAAAAATTTAAGGCAATTACATTTTCATAGATATACTGATATATAAATAAATAACACATACATTTAGGTCAGACAACTTGTTTTCGGTTGACCAACTCTTTACCCACTATGTGCAGCCTTAGTTGATCCCCATTAGGGAGTCCTCATCCAGCCCATGCGTGCTGAGCTGAACTTTTCCATTAAAAAACTGTCTCTGTGTGGAACATCTAATTCATGTCTGTAAAAAAGACCTGTTTTTCACATCTTGTTGAGGACAATCTGTTGTAGGAGATGAAGTGAGACCAGTTAGCATTTGACAAAAAGGAAATCCCCTTTTTATTGCCTTCTTCTTAACTGGGTTAAGTTAATAACTTGAGGGGCGGAAAGTGCTTTTTCTGTTAGCTCTCAATGTAAATAAACCCTGGTTTTGAAGATGTGGCATGCCTGAAATTCTGGGACACACAGAGGTTTGTTAGCATTTCACTTCCCTTCTGCAGGACACCGTGGATCATGTTTACATTTTGCACTCTTCCTGGCCTATTTATTTTTTAAGAAAACACGGTTGGGGTTCTCATCTGCTCATGTCTTTAAGTACATAAATCTACTAGACTTGTTTATACAAACCTTTCTGAAAGGGATGAGCGGCCAGGACAGAGGATGTGCTTTGTAAAACCATTTTGTCTTCTTTGCTTTCTGCATCTGAAAAGTTGCAGCTTGTTGGAACCACTGAAGAGGTTGATCCAGGATGAGTGAAAGCCTCCTGGGGCAGATGTCCCATCTGCCACTTAGAGACCTTTATGTTATGCCATGAGCTGTTTGCTGGCTCTCTGCACCTGCATAAATTGAATTCATCATTACTACTACTAGGTCTTCATGGAAGGGTTACAGCAAATTACCTTTTTTTTTTTGACCTAATTCTCCCCTTAGTCAGTGTTGCCCATTTTAATTGTGCTCACTAGTTGGTGAGACCCAAGGCAAGGGGAAGGTCAGAAAGTCTTTGGTAGGACACAGGTATGGAGATGGGCCCTGCTAGGGAGCCAGCCTGATCTTGACATCTCAGCATTGTCTCAGCACCTCCTCTAGAGGAGCAAAGCTGTTGTTCTTTTTACCCTCCTCCTAAAAAGTCTCCTTTCTGCTCTGGAGAAAATGTGGAGCTATCATCTTTTCCCTTGCCATTGATGTTTTCTACAGCTCTTTGGAGACAACGCACTAGGTTGCCCATGGTTGTTTCATAACTTGTGTCCATAGGCAGCGAGCATAGATAAGGACTTAACCACAGTTGCTGTCTCTTTCCTTAGAGTGCCGGGTGATGAAAGGGAGCCCTGCGGCTGCCACGGGCAGTAAGTCATCTCCCACCCCTCAGAAGAGCTCAGCAAAGAGCCCAGCCCCCATGCGCCGGAGCAAGTCTCCAGCTGATTCAGGTAACCATCAAGATGGTGAGTGATTGTTTTCTGGTGTCTGAATATTAACTTTGCTGAAGAGAAAAACATCTATTGCATGTCTTGGGATACACAGACCTTGGGTGTTTGCATATGAAACTTGGGTGTTTTTTAGAAACAAGAAGCTGGTGGTAGTGTACAGGGGCACTTAATAAATATTGGAGAGGAATTCTCTGGTTGGTTAAGTGCAGTTGTGGCTTTAGGTCATATCACCCAGAGTCTCACAGCTTCCTGCTCTAGCAAAATTTTAAAAGAAGTTTCAATTTCACAAGCAGGAAATAAGGCCCACAGTGCTCCCATATGTTCCCTATAGATACAGACAGATTTAGAATAACCTCCTGTGCAATGCAAATGTTAATTATTGTACAGGTCAGAAGTGTCCCCTTCTAATAATTATTTAACGAAGACCAGCGACCTTGCAATTGGAGAACTGGTGGTGGGTTTATTAATGTGATAGTGAGAGATTCATTCAGTAGTAGAAGAGAAAGGAAATGGGAATCCTGATTTGCTGCAGTGGCTTGCACCATTTGAAATGCCTCCCTCCCTCCTCAGTAGCAACTGGATTGGGTTTAGCACACCCGGAGAGCTGCAGAGCCTCTAAATTAAAAGCTGGGCTGAATATCACACTTCTGGTAACTGATAGGTTTTAGAGTCATGATGGAGATGGTAGATCTCTAGGTGTGTCACCTGTCTGCCTGGTTTTTCCAAAAGAGGACCAGACGTGGCCTTTCACTAGGATGGCCGAATCACTGCATAAGCACTTCAGGACTCCAGGAGAGCTTCATAGGTTAAATTCAAGTGACCCACAGTATTAACACAGGTGATATAAACCAGAAATTGCTTTTCACTTTCATGGTAATATATTGCATATTGCATGTGAACACCACACAATAGTTGACCATCATCAGGTATTGGATTACTGGATATAAAATTCTCCTGACAGATTCAGAAAGATTTTGCCCAGTGAGCAGTTAATTTGTTTAGGGTCTCTTGTTCTTCAGCTACTTAGAGAGACAATGTGAAATTGGTTGGCACATGCCAAGACACTGTGATTTTTAAAAAGTTATTTCTCTGTAAGACGACTCTGCATTCATAGTTTTCCTTCAAGATTCCAGTGTTGGCTGTTCTTAAGCTCAGGCTTTCTATAATCTAAAAAGCTTTTACAATCCCAAATGCATGGTAAAGTTGCATAAGTACATTGAAGGTGTGATGGAAAATACATTGTTGATTTAAAAAAAACCCAAACACCTCCCATTCAATGACCTGGGAGCCAGCTCACGCATGAGTTGTGAAACAGCATTTAAACCTTCTCCATAAGCATCAGGTGCTAATTACCATCGGAACTAGACTTTATTGCATGAACTTACAGTCTAATGTGAAACGGCAACTATTGTGTTCTTGATTTTAACTGATTGAATGACTCACAGGAACAAAATGGTGAGTCATCTGATGAAGTTCAATTAACACAGTTAGTAGACCCTTTCAGAAGGTGATTAAAATAATCAGAAATGCTGAACAATAGCCAGCTCCTGGGGTTAAGGCCAGTAATGAAGGACAAATCAGGTTTCTTTAATCCATCTAGACAAGGGTCTTTCATACTTTCCTGGGATTTCAATACAGAAAAAAATGGCAGCCTGTCCTGCTTAATGAGAATAAAAAATGACTGAACTCTCTCAGCGCTGGAAAGGTAATCAAAGACAATTGTTTTCTCAGGACAAAGAGAAAAAAGGAACACCATCTTGTGTTCTTGTCCCTGGAATTTGTAATAAAGAAAGTGGATCTATACATTACTTGTGTAAGTGATCAGAGTCAATATTTACATAAAAAATCAGCAAGCTCAGCTGGATTTTGAAGTTATCACATTCTTTTCATTTATTTTTCCATGTAGGGTTCTGTATCATTTTTCCACCATAGTCTCTAAGGTCATTGTGGCATATCTGGGCACTGATGTAATGCAGATTCCGAAGAAAATCTCCATGCTCTTTGAGTGAAAGAAGTCTGAACCCTCCTCATTACAAGCACACCCCAGTTACAGAAAAGGATATTATTTTCTTCTATTTCTCATCCTTATTATTCCATTTCCCTGTTAAGCATATGGGAAAATGGTGCATTGTTTATCAGCAGCAAAAATGGGAATGCAGTGGATGTACATGTGGACAGTGGTCCGCACGCATTGCCCGCAGAGACAGCTAAGGCTTAGAGCAGGTTTTGGATGCGTGACTCTGCCTCACTCCTTGGCAAGAGCTTCAATGCTGCCAACAGACAGTGGGCAAAAGTAATAAGTCACTGTTATAGCACAGAGAGAATAAAAAAACTGCTTCAGCACAGCTGAAGGATTTTGAGGATGTAACGTTGACAGCGTGCAGACATTGCATCTGCTTTCTCTACCCTTCACTGTAGGAACGCTTCTGATCTTTGTGTCAACATAAATAAAACACTTCCCATTCAGAGCTGTGGAAATGCTTTGTGCCTGAGCAGCAGCTATCTTCCACACAGGATGGGGTATTTAGGGACTTGTGCTTTATTCCAGTCTTCTTCACTGACTCACTCTGTGGCTTTGAGTGCATCATTTAAGCTGTTCATGCCTTCTTTCCCAATGGGTCATTCAAGACGGTCATAACCAATCTGTATACAGAGCTCTGTAATCTACCCATGGAATCATGCACAGGAAAGAGCTTTGAGGCTCTTTATTCGGGGCTTTTTGTGTATTCTGGAAGTGTTTGGAGAATAATATTCCTAAAACCAAAGCTATTATCTCACAGATTGCCAGAGACAAAAGGCATCTCCAGCAGCAGAGTGGCTGCAGCATGTGCTCCAGACCTTCTAACAGAGGCAAGCCATGCTCTAGCAAGGCCACTATCTGCACTGCAGTGGATCAGAGGCTCCTCCAGCAACCTGTATGCTCTCTAACACATTGGGTCCTGCTGCAGTAAACTGTCAGGTTATGCAGGTGAATGAATACAACTGTGTGGCCTGATGCTGTGTTAGCCATTGTCATAGCCTGTGTAGACCTCCTTCTAAGTTGATTTGTCAGCCTGGAAGCTTTCTGTGTAGGGATCTGCTTTCTGTGCCAGGTGATCTCCATTCATCTTTGACATCCTGTGCTCATTCTGGTTTTGGCTATGGATTTAGTGATCTACTTCCCAATGAGAAACGTAGATCCCAATATAAGCAGCTTTCTGGGAAAGCCATAGAGAGAGTGTACTGCTGGCTGGAGTCCAGTTTCCTCTGATGGCACCCAAAACTTTATTGCTGACTGTGGTCTCTGGGGCCACCTCTGAGTCAGAACAACAACAGAATACAGAAGGAAATATATATAGCAAGCCTGTAAATCTAGCACTAAAATGGAAGCAGCTTCTAAGTCATTTAATTGCTCCTATCACCAGCTAGATGTGAACTGTAATGTGTTCTTTGACTGCTTTGTTACAGCAGACCTGGTAGTAAGCCACTTAAATAAGTGGTCAGCTCCCATTCTAAAATAAGAAGGATTAACATGGAGCAGCAAAGAACATATAAACTAAATATTTTGTTAAAAAACATCAGGACAAAAGGCTGTGCACGGAAGTGCAACCACACAGAGTGCCAGCTCCCAGCTGCAGTGATTCAAGTTGACTGGTTGAATTGCTACCTTCTGCCGGAGGTAATTTGCCTCCCGCCTAGATGTGTGTCATGGCCTCACTGTGAAAAGCTCAATTCCCTCTAGGCAGCCAGAGCCCTTCAGCTCCGAGGATATTAAAAAAATGGGGTAGCTAATCCATAGAAACATGTTAAACGCTGTTTTCTCGGCACAGCACTTTTATCTCTTTATTTACCATACAGTCATTTAAATGAATGAATGAATGAAAACTAAAGGAATGAATGAAGAATGAAGTGTCTTGCTATGAGCAGATGGTAACAGACCAGTCTTTATATTTCCAAGGGGAATCCTTTCTTCCTTCTCTCATCAACCCCCAACCCATATATACACCTCCTCATCAATGTCAGTGCATTTCTGTTTTGATCCAGCTGTTCCTCCAGACACTGTGCTGATCGTTCCATCACCGGGCTGTTTGTGCCTCTTGCTTCAGTTTGACTGGAAGGTCCTGGCTGCTTTGCCAGCAGTTCCCACTGGGCTTCCTAGAGGCATATATCCTCCAGTTTCCCATCTCTCTGGTGCTGGAGCTGTGAGGCAGTCTTTCATCTATATCTTCCACCTAACTCCCCCAAAATGCTGCTTCCAGCAAGGTGGAGTTAGCAAAATACAGCAGGATTTTACTTCTTCTCTACAAGGATGTATCCAAGTGCCTTTCGCTTCTCTGTCTCCCACTTGTTAGCTAGTAGAGCTGAACTAGTTTCTCATATATCAGGTGTGAATTGAGACTGGAAGGGATTGGTGTCTCTATGTGGCCTTAGTTGAGCTCAGATTGTTGTGTTTTAGTATGGACTGAACATGCTAAGAAAGACATAAGCAAACTAGAGAAAATCCAGAAGAAATTTCCTAGGGTTCAGAAAGGTTAAAGGAAATGGGCTGATTCAGCTTAGAAAAAATGAAGATCGAGAAGGAACAATTTAACACGCTTCAAATGTATATGAAGTATTAAAAAGAGGATAAGGATTAGTTTTCCTGTGTGTCAAGGATAGGACGGAATATTGGTTTAATCTTTAATAAGGGATATATAGATCAGATATTAGGAACACCTTTCAATTATAAGAATCTTAATCACTGAAGCAGGTCTCCTAGGGAGCTTGTGAGTCCCTGCCAGACTTGGTGCTTTTAAAAAATAAGCATCTCTATTGGGAATGACCCAAATATGTCTGATCCCAATTTAGAGCACAGAATTGGAGTTACAAAGCTTCCATGGTTATTTCTAGCCTCTACTTTTCTTTCTCTGAAGTCAGCTTTGCTAAATGACATAGCTTAGAGCAATAAAATCCAGACTAAACTACACCTGCAGTATACCATCCAGTTCCTTCTCCTAACATGACAGAGGAAAACTGGGCACAAGGAGATAAGTCTC